TGCTGTTATAGCTCAACTTGTAACCTATAGGGTCATTATAAATTGTAATTGACTCCACTGCAGTGGGTTTGGGTTTGGAATGCTAACTATTCCCATAAAAGGCAATTTTTAAAGTGACTACAGGACCTAAAATTCATAGTTTTAGTTAGTCAAATTAAGTTTTCTGAGCAAATCTACTTTCTTTTGGACCATTTTGTTCTACTTTTATCAAGGTCCCACTGGGCTAGCAAATGGATTGGGGCAGAAGTACAGACACCTTGGGAGAGTTAAAACCTTGTTCTTTTATGTTGTTTTTGTTGTTGTTTTAAGTTTTTTGAAAGAATGGAGTTAAAAGATAATAGAATTTTCTATGAATTTTTGACACTTCTACTGTAATATCATGAGATAATATGACATGATAAAGAGGTCTAGTGGACACAGGGAAACTGATTTGAAATAGAAAATGTGTAACTGTGAAGCCTAAGTGTTTAATAAAATAAGTGCACACTTTATATTTAAAGTGTTAATAATTATTTTATTATCCTTATGACTAATTACTAGCTGAAGTAATAAAAACTAATCTGTGCTAATTAAACATAAATTACTATTGAACATATCTAAATAAATAAACAAACTAGTTCTGAGAATACTTTAATACTATTTTCTTCACTTGCAGAACCAATCTTTTACACTGAAGAACCACTCATCATTTTCTTCAAAACCCTTCCATCTAATTCTTTTCCCAAATTTAAATTTCAAAACTCAACTTTAAATAGGTCATTCGGAGGAAATCATCCTTAAGAGATTTATTCTCTGGAGTGAGTCTCCTTTTAAAACTCCATTAAAAGTAATGCTACTCTGTATGGCTAACTAATTTCAGGTGCAAATACAAACACTAATCTAAAAGGTGGATTGTAATATTAAAGTACAACATTTATAGCTTCCTTTTGTAACTCACCATTCTATCCTTTCACCTTTTTCTGCAGCAGTTGCTCCGTGGAGGATCTGCTGCATTTCTAAACTTTCCAAAATAAAATAATGGGTTAGAGATTTAAATGTGCTACATTGAACATAGGGTTTGGGAATCCTATTGATTTTTAGTCCCTGGCATCTAGAAGACTATTTAATTATCCAATAAACGTTTGAATATTGAAGTACCAGGAACCCAAAAAATCTGTTTGGGAAGATGTGCAAGCAAGAACTCTCTTTAGAATCGAGGATGACAGACGTATCTTCACGTATGTGGGACATGTTATCAGGAGAAACGTGTCCCTGAGAAAAGACATTGTGCTTGGTAGAGGGGTACATCCTCAGTGAGGATTGCCACAGTGGCAGTTTAAAAAAAAAAAGCGGGGGGAGGCCCTCAAACACAAAGATTGTGAGGTTCTGTTTTTGGACTTGGATCTGGATCTGTTTTGGGTTCTTTCCCCTAAAGAGTTATATATAGTCTCAGAAACCACAGGAGCAATTCTACCCTGTTTCTTACACAAGGTTGCTATTAGTCAACCGATTTAACGGCACTTTAACAAAGGTAGGAGGTTATGGGGCTATCTTATAACATACAAACTTTTTAAAAATTTAAGTTGAAAAAAACACGTTAGATCATTTTAAGAGTACTTTCAGGTGAACTAAATGGAGGCATTTGTACAGTTGGGCTCTAAGAGACTGTGCTGCGTTCTGGAGCTTAATCAGGATCGCGGGACTACAAATACCATAGAGCCATACAAGCGCTGTTCCGCCCCC